CGAATACCGCAGTAGAGGACTGCAGAGCCTGTGAGTGGGGCGCAGGTGAGGCCCTAGGGTAGGAACAAGAGCAGCCAGCGCAGGAGTGCAGGCTCTGGCCCCACGCTGCCATGCCTGTGCTCTGGACGTGAACCCTCGCCAGTGGAGTGACCTCGGGCTGGCCGCCTTCACCTCCCTGGGCCTCAGGTCTTCACCTGTAAGTGAGGGGGAGCCACAGCTCGCCGGGGGTTGTGGGGATGAGGTCCGCCGGGTCATGCAAGCACTCAGGCCTGCAGTGGACGCTCAGGACTCGCCACTCGCTGAAGTGAGCGCTCCATTTCAACTGGATAGTAACTGCCCCAGGGCAGGAAGTGTCCCCCAGGCGATCACAGCAGACCTTGTGCTTAGAGCACGCCGTCCTGGGCCAGCCAAGCCCTTCTGCCTACCAGGAGGGTCTCTCTAAGGGCATGGAGAAGGTTGGCGAAAAACCGTCATGGCTATCTGAGGGGCCAGGCAGGGGTGAGGAGTAGGGAACGGGGCTTGGAAGCATGAGCATGGTGAACACAGTGGCCACACAAACATGCCGACACACAGCAATGGCACCCAGGGGACAGGCTGCACCGTAGGCAGGATTCGATCCCAAACTTTGGCCCACGAAGCCTTGGGGTTCTGCTGGTGGGAACCACTGAGCCAGCCGTGAACCCAGAGTGGCCATGCGGCCTGACTGTGAGCAAGACCCTCTGCAAGCTGAGCAAAGCCGGGTCACTAAGTGTCTCCAGGCCTTGGATCACAGGCTCCGAAGTTCTATAACTGTACGGCTGTAGGTTCCATGGAGCTCACAATGGCTTCTGTGTCAAATGTCCACTCCTTCTTTGGGGAAAGAACCAGGTGAACTTCGGCCATGACTCTATCCCTAGATTCTGGGTACCTGCTAACTGTGAATAATTCTGTCTTCCCATTAAGCCGTGTCTTGTTAACTCAGTTTATACTATGGGAGTCGGTTTGGCACACAGCAGGTGGTTAATCAATGCGTGTCCACATGGCTGAGGCATTC